GCTGGTTTTCACGGTGAAGGTGGGGCAGGGAGTACCTGGGGTTGGGCTGCCGGCAGCGGCAGTGTTGGTGGTGGGGTTGGGGTTGGGTTAGGGTTAGGAATTTAAAAAAAATAAATTTAAGTTTTTTTCTTTTTTTTTTAAGAATTTTTTTGAATTGAACCAATCATATCATGACATGTGTCATGATTAAACCCTAATGACTACCGGAGTTAACGGTCGTTAGTTACTAATGGCACTCGGTGGCATTTGGTGAACTTTGAAAACTTTGATGGCATTTGGTGAATTATTAAAGTGCTCAGTGGCATTTGGTGAAATAGCCGTAAAAATAATCCGTACAACACAAATTATAGTACCATTTAAAATGAAAAAAAAAAAAAAAACAGAAAGTGACTTCTACACGTACTGGACTGCCATCTACATTTCTACAGTGACTTAAAATAAAATAAAATTACAAATAATAATAATAAAAAAAAAGAATCACATGCTATAGCATACATAACCAGCAATGAATCACAATATTCACATAAATAACCAACAAAACAAAAAAAAAAAAAAAAAAAAAAAAAAAAAAAAAAACCAAAAAGAGAGAAGAAAACAGAAGGTTCGAAGAAAGAGAAAAAACAAGAACTAGAAGCAGAAGAGAGATAGAAGAAGAAAGAGAAACATTAACAGGTCGAAGCTCGAAGCCTCGCTAGTCGCCGGTGTCGAAGTGGTCGTCGGTGGTCTCCGGTCACCACAGAAGATTGAATCAAGTCGCACCTCCAAAGGAATCGCCGTTCGCAATTGTTAAGGTTTTTGAGAATTGGAGGAAATCGGAAATTAGGTTAGTAATTCACTGATTTTGGGGGTTTTTCAAAAAATATGGCCTAAAATTCTAAGGAAACGTTAGAAAATGGTCCAAGCCGTCCCCAATACGTACCCGAGCAAGAGGCTAGCTGTCCCCAAATTGGCTTGCCGTACCACTTTCGAAGGGGACGCCTTGGGAACGTTTCCGTACCGTACCCGTCCCTGAAACGTTTCCGGTACGGGAGACAACAACCAATTGACGAATTCGTACAACACTGATTACAAGTTTAATTAAAAGCCGACTCATTCAAGTAGACCATACATAATAATCATACATAAAATTCCCTTTTTATCTTATTTAGGACAACGCTGATCACATCACAAATTGACCTTTAATTCCTTTAAATTCCACATATCCAAAATTGTTGAACATAGTCAACGATCCCACCTAGTCATTTCGGCTTAATCCACCTTTACTCAACATACTAACAAGTCATGCTTGAGTAATAAATAAAATAATAATAACATCATGGAATAATTAATTAATTCATTCCACTTAAACCATTCAATTCCAATCCTTCAATTTACCCAAATGTGGTTATCAAATCAATCCAATAAAAATATGTTTGTATCAACATTACATACAAACAATTAATCCAATATAATTCAACATGCTTGCATCCATAATTTCATACAAACATAATCAATTCACCAAAACATGTCTCATAAACATAAGCACATGAATTAATTCAATGTTTAACTAAACAATTTCCATCCAAGAGTTCTCTAAACATGAAACTAAGTTCTTTCCTTTGGTACCTAAACATGATACTACTTACAACGAAGTAGACATGTACGTACCTCATATAAACAATCCTTTGTGCCACTTTTAATCACTTAGTCTCCTAGGGAATAATCACCTCCTAGAAAACAACCAATAATCAAAAATTAATACCCAAACTAATTTCCAGCAATATAATTTAATTAAAACTCCTTAAAACTTCCTTTAAAATATGTTTTTATGCTTAATTAATCAATAGAAATACAATAGGGACAAAAGCCCCAATTTAGATACTCATTAGAACCCTAAAATCCCAATTTCAATGAATTAAAACCCTAGGTTGTAAAATTCATAAAATCTGAAAATTAAAACTAATATTTTAAATCTGAAATTATAAAATTAAACCACCAAAAACATGAAATGATACCAAATAAACTAATTTCAAACAAAACAACAATTTAGTAAAACATTAACCAAAATAATAAAAACCAAAAGGAGGAAGAAGGGAAGGAAGGTCAGCCACGTGGTGGCCGGGCCGGTGATGGTCGGTTAACCAGAGGTCGCCGGCGACGGCGACAAGTGGTGCGCTGGGCTTCTGGGTGGCAGCGATGGGCAGCAGTGAGCTATGCTCTTGTATAAAGGAGAAAGGAAAAGGAAGAAAGAAAGAAAAAGGAAAAAAGGAAAGAAAAATAAAGGAAAATAAAATAAAACAAAGGGAAAAGAAATTAAGACTAACCTTTTTGAGAGGGGAAAATTTAGGGTATTTATAGGAGAGAGAGTTGTAGGGTAAGTAGGAAGATTGAGCCTCATGAAAATAATGGGCCAATTAAACAAAATAGGTTAGGTTAGGCTTTGTTTTTATGATCATGAATTGTAGGACATAGGTTCATAAAAATCCTATTGTAATAAAATAATTTTCTACCTAAAAATAATTTAAGACTTTTAAAATAAAATCCAGAAAAATACAAATAAATATTATAAATAAAATAAAATTTCATTTATAACTTATTTGAAAATATGGGGGATTACAAAATCTATCTTCCTAAGCGGTTTCTCTGCATTTCGTATAAATGTTCTTCGACCTCCAATTTTTTTCAACAGTTATTTTAGGGAAGAAGATGAAGATAAGAAGATTTTCACATAAATTAATTTTGATACTTACACATTAATGGTGTAGCTAATTGGCGCCTATGTGAAATATTTACCGCTTAGAAGACTAATAATCCCGCCCAAGTACACATAACCCACTAATGGGTGAAATTTTGTCCCGCTAAAGCTTCCCTCCCCTTTTGTCATGAGTTGGCATGATTTTATCGGTGGTGTACAAAATGTTTTTGTACACTATGTGTACCTCTACCTTTTTCAGCATAAAGGGGTGTAAGGACGATGCTATCCCGGTATTTTCTCGTATTTTCCTTATTTTTATCAGCTTTATCAACTTGTATTTCCCAATCCTAGTCCTTAATAGGGATGGCAACGGTGTGGGGCGAATGCGGAGGATGGTACCTCCATACCCGTACCCACCTAAAATTCTTATACCCATCTCCACTCCACCACCCATGACGGGTATAATTCCCACATCCATACCCGCCCCGCGGGGTACAAACTACTATCCATACCCGCCCCACCACCCACTTGGGTATCCATATATACCCGCCTCATACCCACCCAAAATCCGCCCCAAACCTGCTGCCATTCACAAGTTAATGGGATAATTATGATACTGCATTGTATGCCACAACCCACAAATGAAAGTTTCTAGCTCATAAATTATACAAGTTGGAACATAGAAAAATCCACATCACGTACAAATCATTACATATTACGCTTTGTTTGGATAGCAAAGAAGGAAGAAAAGGAAGGGGAGGGAAAAATGAGGAAGGGAAGGGAAAAGAAAGGGAGGGGGAGGTGAGCTCCATTTTCCCTCCAAATCTCTCCAATTTTGGAGGGATTATGCTTATTGAAAAGAGAGGGAAAATGGATCCCTCCCTCTCCTTCCCATTCTTTCCCCCAATCTTTTAACCAAATAAGAGATTTGTCCCTCTCCCTTTCTCTTCTCTTCTTTTCCTTCCATTTCTTTCTATCCAAACATAGTGTTAAAGTTTCTTAGTTCTTAAAAAAAAATAGTCTTCTAAATTCAAACAAAAATACATCTCAAATACAGTCCAAATTCTTCTTAGTTCTTAAAAAAAATAGTCTTCTTTAATCAATTGCAGTCCAAATTCTAAATGAATGCCCTGACATCTAAACTCAATTGCACTCCAACATTTAAACTCAAGTTTTAGACATTAAAATCGCACAAACGCTCACCAAATAAAATTAACAATGTTTAATGCCCTGACATCTCACAAAGTCGCATTACCATATTCGAATTTAAAAAAAAAAAACTATGCAATAATTTATAATTAATAGAAGAAAACGAGAAAAGGAAATTAGAATCGGTTGATTCTAGAATAAAAGCATGAGGAACAATTAAATTCGATAAATAAAGAGAGAGATAGAATGATACATACCTAGTGATGAAGAGAAACTGACAGAAAATGGTGATTGGGGAAGAGATGCGAGCGGCGCTGCGGCAAGTCTAAGCTTATTAGCCTCTTAGAAATTTAGAGTTTCATTTGAAATACTATCATATGAAATATTTTTATTTTTATTCCTTGATATAGTTGTATCAGACTATCAGAAACTAAAGGACAAAATTCTAGACTTTTTTTTTTTTTTTTTTTTTTTTTTTTATGAAAATTCTAGACTCGTCCTACTTTTTATTATAATAAGGCGGGTATGAGCGGGTTGGGGCGGGGCAGGGCGAGGCAGAGCAGGGTGGGACAAGCAGGGATGGAACGGATTTCTTTTAAAATCCATACCCTATCCATTACCTATGAATTTATGATACACTTTTTACACCCACCCCCGCCCCACCACCCGCCAAACCTTTCTCCATACCCACCCAAGTGGGGCGGGTCTCCTATTTTACCTGACCCACTATCATCCCTAATCCTTAATAAATCGTGGGCCTCAACTTAAAAAACAAAGAAGTGAGGCTGAAGCTAAACTGAACATTGACCTTCAATCCCTCTCTTTATTATTCCCTATAAGAACTCACCTAAATACTGGAGTTTTTCTTTTCGGATCTCTTCATAAAGCTTAATAATCTTTTCGTGGAAAATTTGATTTTTTGTGGACGGTTTTGAATGACGATTCATGTTACTGGATCCATATTATTTCGAATGACGATTATGATCATTGACAGGGGCGGATCCAGTATGGGTTCAACCCACTGATTTTTTTGAAAAAAATTGAAATGTGTTTTATTTTTTTTTAAAAAAAAAAGCGAAAAGGTTTAAATAAAATATTTGTTGATATGTATTAAGAAGTAAAGCTACAGCTGTGATTTTTTTTTACCTCCCGTCAAATACGAGTTTGTGGGTTCAAAACCCATAACTCACACTTTTTTTTTCCTACACTTCCTCATTCCCCCAAATACTAAAACCCTAACCCTAAAATCTTAAACCCCAGGCGACGCGTCATCAGCCAGGCATCAGGTGCTCCAACACCGACGGTCCGACGTCCTTGAATTTCGCTGAGGTCAGTGAATTTCATTTCGCTGATTTAATGTTTTTTTTCTTGGTAAATCGCTGATTTAATGTCTCATTTCGCTAATTTACTTTACGATTTGGGGATTTTTTTTGGTAATCGCTGAATTTCATTTCGCTAATTTACTTTACAATTTGGGGATTTTTCCTCTAGAAATTGAAGATTGGTTTTGACTGTGTTTTGTTATAGTTTTGTCTTCATTATAAGTCCCCAATGATTTTTTTTAACATGATTAGCCGATTAGAAACTGAAAATTGGTTTTGATTAGCCGATTTGGGGATTTTTCCTCTAGAAACTGAAGTTGTGACCGGATATTTGACTATTTGAGTTGAGTATTTGAGCCCTATAATTTCTGTTTAATTGATATTGATTCTTATTTCTGATTTTCTGTTTAATTGATATTGATTATTGAATTTATTATCATTCATTCATTCTGCATTTATCATGTATGTGTAGCAGTAACTGGTGTCGTGCGTTGTTGACTCGTGGTGGTAGTTGGTACGACTGGCGGACCGGTACCTTTGGCTATCTTCTTCACCGTTAATTAGGTAAATTATGAACGCTTGATAGTTATTTTATAATTCTCCAATCAAAATTTTACTTCTATTATATGTAATGTTGAATGATCAAGTACTTGAATTTTCAGTTCGGCTATTCTCTGTCATTGTTGGTATATGATTTTTATTTACTGCCATTTAACCTATTAAGAGCTCTATTTTTGGCTTTGGCTAATTATGAACTATATTATGTTTGAGTTTTGTTGCTTGTGGTAAATCAAATCTCTTCTAGTGAAGAATTTCCTTGGGTAGTTTGGTTCTCTGTGTTTAACCAGCTTTATAAAAAATAAATACCAAGTAAAAATATAAAATGATATGTTCAATTTGCTTGTTTATTATGAACCTTTGAAGTACTGATAAGGTCAGAATATATGGGGTTTTTAATTTTTTGTTTAGCGTCGATCAATTTGGTAACTAGTATGTTACTATGTTTGGTGACTTATGAATCTTAAAAATGATATGAGTTGCCGATCTTTCCATCAGCTGAATTTGTTGAATACTTGAATTGCCTTGAGTTGCTTTTGCTTTTGAATTGTTGAATTTTTCATTTTTCTTATGTGTAATCTATTTGTAATCCATAATTTGAACTTATGTACTGAATATTTAATTATTATATTTTTCATTCCTTTGTTAATTACGATTCCTAACTTCCGAAGTTTGAACCCACACTCCGGAAATCCTGGAGACGCCACTAGTTATTGATTAAATCTTTGAGTTGTATTTTCTTGATTTATAAAGATTATTAATTGTTTTTGTGTTAATTTTGTTGGTGCATGTGATTGATCCAATAACAAGGTTATGGATGTAGAGAAGCGGAAGAAATTTCCTGAGAAGTTCAAGTTGGATAAGGAGGAAATAAGGAGGTACATGTTTCCTTGTGCTCCTAAAGAACCCTGGCTAGAAGAAAAGTTTATAAAAGCACTGGATGGCAGCAGAATAAATTCAGAATCCGAACTTTTTCATGTTCTTTGTGTTTCAAATCAGTTGACAAACTCAGTTCGTAAAGAATGTTATTATGGTTCTAGTAAATATCGATTTAAGTGTGACATCGAGATTGGCAAGCCTCTTGATGTTAAGTCCCTGTTGTTTCCTTCTAGAAAGGGTTGTCTGGTTCGTAGAGGTCTTATAGTAGATGCTAAGAATCTTAAACTTAGTGGTAAGTACGTCATGCTTTGTTGTTTCATGGTGCCTCTTAATTGGAATTCCATTGCCTGGAAAGTAGCAGTTGCTTGTCATGATTTATACTCTAAAATGAAGAATCGATTTGAGATGGTGATTGTTGCTATTATGAGAGATGGCTGGACCCATGACAAGAAAGCCTTCAGCCAATTTATGTCTGCTTTTCCTTCGTCTTGCCTTGCAATTCCATTTCATGCTAAGTCTCATCGTCGTCGTGTATGCAAGTATCTTGGAGGCATGTTCATGGCCAACATGACTCTCGTAAACCCCGCTGGTAATGTTCTCTTGCACAATGAGGTTCATCAATCTATGGATATTGAATTTGTTCCCTGGTATCATCTAGCTAACTCCCACGCATTTCCTTTCATTACTGATGCGGATGCTGGCCTGCATCTCACTACTCCATCGTCTCTAGAGGACCTTTTGTATTGCAGAATCTCTGATTTTGTCTTCAGGAAGAATCCTTCAGGAAGTGAAGCATTTTGGAAGGAGAAACGGCCTATTTCTCAACTCAAATCAAAGCTTGTGGGGTTGTACCTCTACACTTCGGGCAATTTGCTTCCTTGGCTTCGTAAAATTGAGGAAGCGTGTAGGCAAAGTGACAAGGAGTTGGATATTGTGGTTGTATATCTTCCTGATTGGGATAGGCAAGATCCACGGTGGTATCCTGAATTTTTCAGCACTGTGCTAGCCAAGCAGAATATCTCTTGGTGGGTTGCGCCCTATAACAATACCGCATCCATTATACTCAAGCATTTGTTCGAGGGAGAGAAGGTGATCATTGTCGGTCCTAATGGCTCCTATTTAGATACCTATGGAGCTGAACTTATGCAGCTTTATGGTATTACTGGATATCCCTTCACTGTGAAGCACGTTGCCCAAAAAACTCTGGCAGAGCTAAGCAAAGTCACCCTAGAATCGTTCTTGGACTTACTCAACATGAGTTTAGAGCATCATCATATAGGGAAGAATATTCTTTTTTACTTTGATTATCCATTGAGTAACAATTCTGTAGTTTATGATGCGTATACACGTTTCACTTCTGATGTGGATGCTGTTATTCTTCCCTGTTCCATAGCTGATGCTACAGTAGTTACTGAACCCGAAGGAGATGATTCTAAACAAGCCAGAGGTAAACTATCATGGCATAACCCCTGCATTGCCGTTAACACTGTGGTTGAGAAATTCTTCACAAGGTTCTTTAATCGTCGATTTCCTACCATTGTTGCGTTTGGAAAAGATGGCAGGATCTGTTCACTACTTGCTCATCGCCTTCCATATTCTCATGGGGATAAATCTTTTCCAATCAAAGGTGATCTGCTTGAAGAGGTCTCATCTATATTGACTGACTACTTGGATAGATATTATGATGATGAGTTGAGGTATTATCCTGATATGCTATATCTCGAGGAGTTGCAGGAGTTGAGGCAAAGTTGGGTGTGACAGACAATGGGTCTTCTGTGTTTCATAACTAGGAGTTTCATTTTGGTCCATAAGTCTTGATTTTTTTTTTTTTTCCCAATCTTGTGTTTTGTTAACTATGTTAGTGTTTAGTGGATGTTAGCTGTGTAGTTGGTTAAAGCCTTATGGGTGATTGCCATCGACTCATCTACTATATCATTTGCCCTTCGCGCCTTTCTTCACACCGAATTGATTGCTTTTGGTTTGTTTGTTTGATTGATGTGTTTATTATGCAAGTTTACCATTTTAAGCTTTCTGATTCAGTCTAGCTGATTTTTTATTGTTTTGTTATTCAGAAATTTTCAACCTAGGAATCTCTTTAGAATAGGTATTGGTAGTCTTGAATTGTTATTTTTTTGGAAACTATTATTGCTTATTTTTCTGGGATATCCCCCCTCGTTTTCTGAAATTTTTAATGGATTTGTTTGCTTTTACCCAATTTGAACTATTCATAGTTACATTTTCTTACCTTGTTGCACCTGTTTACAAGCACACGAACATTCAACACATATAAAACGACCAACCAACAAATAAATGAATTGCTTATTTAATTTGATTACGCATTGAACGGGTTTCCTACCAAAACCCTGCATCAAATAAATTGAGGTAAACTACACCGGGAGCTAACCGGGTAGACAAATGTCACATGAAGTGACTGGACGTCCTACGCATAAAATAAATAAAAAGGAAAATACAGCGTCCTGTACTCCCAGTAGAAGTTATGGTTAAATATAAAACCCCATAACTCCCCCCATATGTTCATACTCAAGGTATATACGTTTCAAGAGTTTTGAAGCGTAATCTCTCTCACTTTATGTTGTTTACATATTATTAGACTTGGTGAAGACTCTCAAACCACAACACAATCAAACATTATAACTCATTCAAGCAATCAAACATACCAATTTAGTTCTTGAATAATTAGTGACCACATAAATTTAATGTTGAACCCTTTTTAAACTACCTCGGTATTAGATAACACCTTAAGCGCATAAAACACCGCAAATCCTATCCCTCGGTGTTAGAAACAACTTAAGTGCACATAGGCACCGCAATATAATTTATTCCTGTGTACTAAGACACTTAAATAGCTCCTTCCTCATGTTTATAACATCAATAAAAATATTATGAACCATAATAAAATTCCTTTTCAATATTCCAAACCAAATTAAACATTTAGTTTAATTAAACATGCTCTCTAACATGCCAATAATAAAATTGTGGTTCATAATCAACATGCCAATACAATTAATTCCAATCACCAACTCACCATGAATAATTCATACATCACCAATCATTCACCAACATCAATCCAATCAACAAATTCCAACCAACACCTGTCATGATACTACTTGGAATTAATTAAACAAAGTCTAGCATGCTTCTACACATTCAAGCAATTACCAAGTACGCAAACGTACTTTGAATATGATCTCAAAATCGCCACGTCTAAATAAAATCACTCACTTGGAAGTCTCCTACAAACCAAAATTATAAAGAAGTATTAATACCTCTTTCACACAAATTTCCAGCAATATATACACACTTAAAATCACTTATAAACCCTCTAAAACAATCTGAAATTTAATTTAAAACCCTTACTTTTTTTCGCAATTAATAGGTAATTAAAAATCCTTTCAAGAAACCTAATTATAACCTTTATATAAAAATTCCAGCTTTATTAAATCATTAAAAATTGCTGCAATTGTGTTTTAAAACACCTATTTTAATAATTTAATTACCTACAATAAAATTCCATCAATATACATTAATTTAGAAACCTAGGGTTTTCAATTTGGGGCTTTTTAATTAAAAACTAAATCTGAAATTTATATACAACATACTTATCATTAAACATTCTAAAATCATCACAAAACCCAAAACAATAATTAGATTTAGGTTAGATTTAACTAAAATCAAGAACAATAATAATAATAATAATTTTTTTTCTTAAAAAACCATGGCGGACGAACCACCAAGGCTGGGCGGCTGCCGCGCGCCCGCTTAGTTGCCGCCGCTGCTGGTGTGCGCCGGTGGTGGTGGCCGCTTGCCGGGTGGCGTGTGGTGGTGGCGTCGGCGAGTGTGGTGGTGTGTGGGTGGTGATTGAAAATAAAATAAAATAAGGGGAAGGGGAAAAATTAAGGAGAAAAGAAAATAAGAGGAGAGAGAGAGAGTTTACCTTTGGGTGCACTGCACCCTAGGCATGTGATGGGTATTTATAGTCTTTCTTAACCCTTCTACTTAAATTTCCTTTACTGCCCTTAATAATCTCTTTCCTAATCAAACTTGTATTTTGACTTTCCTTAAATACCATTGACTTTAAAAATTATCTTTTTTTATAAAATAATATGCCCCAATATTTCCAAATCATGAAATAAAATATTTTCAAGATTATTTAATAATTAGAAATATACTTTTCATTAAAATCATTCTTTTTAAATTAATGAAAAACCTAAATAATTCATTTCGAATTATTTAAGTACTTTAAGAAATACTTATTTAAATTAAAGTACGTATAAAAATACGGGGTATTACACCGGCCAACCATAAAAGCCAACGAACCTCCAAGAATTACCATTCAGCTCAGTGATGTCACCACAAATGTGGTTTTGCGACATAGAGACCAAAGAGAAAGAAATAGAACTACTCTTCCTGAATAAACACAGACCTCCACCTAACCCTACACTACTAACGCCAATCGAACAATCAAAATCAAGTCTTTCTTTAAGCATCTTTGACTCGATCTTATTTTTTTTTTTCAGAAATAAAAAGCAAAACCGGGGAATAAAATAAGCACCATCTTCTTAGTGCTCTATCTGCTTGAGGGTTGCCTACCCCTCGGTTGTTCCAACACATCAGATTCATTGTTGTTCGTGAGGTTGGGTGACACCAACTCCCGCTACTTCATCAAGAGCTAAAGTATTATGCATACGATCTCGTTTAACAAACTCATCAACCTCCATCTTATTTCCCTTTGACACCTCCTTACGTTTCACATCTGCTGTCTCCTTTACCATCATTCCCTCCACCCCCTACTACCCCCTCTCTTCTGATCTTCCTTCCTTTTTTTGCCACCCCTTTCTTTGAATTAGTTTCTAACGAGAACATGAAAGGAAGTACAATTTGTGTTAGGATTTACAACGATTTCAATCAAGAAAACACTTAAACAATGTGTGGGAACAAATCCTAAATATATGATTACAATTCCAAATTGTAAATATCAAATACTAAACAAAGTATTACAATCAAGTATTAGAATTGTCAATGAAATTATTGAAAATATACAAAGACTACACTAGTGTGAAGATGATCAAACTTGCCTTTCTTCCAAGCTGTTAATTCCAAGCATGAACATGAGAAAAACGATGTCCCGTAAGACTAGTACCTTGATACACTGTCAAAGGCGTGTATACACTTTCCTAAAGAGGTTTATTCCCCCCACACGGTACTTGGGTTAAACCCGGAAATCCTCTTTGAGATACAATTGACAGCAATTTCGTTCTTAGTACTAGAATCGAAATCAAGATGACAAATTCACCAAAATTGGATTAATTGAAAGAGTTTTTCTCACAAAAGTTTGCAAGAAATTTGAGAGAAAATGTGGAAAATTCTATTTGGAGAGATGAAGAATAATTTTCTGTATCTTTTTCTTTCACAAATTATGTCTTTTAATAAAAGACTCAACCGTCAGAAAAAACCGCAAAATAGGGAGGAGCGGGCGCTCCTCACAAAAGCTGCGATATTCCACAAGAAGGCAGTGAGGGGCGCGGTTTAGGCGCGACCTGTAGCGCGGGCGCTCCACCAGGACGCGCGGGCGCGCCATCCTCACCCTTCCAATTTGCAAATTTCCAGAGAGGTGCGCGGTTTAGGCGCGCTCTCTGCGCGGCCGCGCCTACGTTGCGCGTGAGCTCTTCATGGTCGCGAGCGCGCAACCATCAACACTCTACATATTCACTACTAGAAATAGGCCGAATTCCGACGGACAGTTTCCGACGGACACGTATTTCCGTCGGAAAAACAGAAATTCCGACGGATTTTATTTCCGTAAGAAATTTCCGACGGAAAATAAATTAGTAGGAAAATATAAACTTTCCGACGGAATATTCCGTCGGAACATTAAACTTCCAACGGAAATAAAATCCGTCGGAACCTTAAACTTCCTACGGAAATAAAATCCGGAATATTCCGTCGGAACATTTAATTTCCGACGGAATTTATACTTATTCCGACGGATTTTGGCCTTTAATAAAAAAAAAACATAAAACCCGGAACCCTAATCCCCCTCCCCTTTCATTTCTCTTTCCGCCTCTTTTCCCTTTCTTTCTCCTCTCCTCTCCTCTTTTCCCTTTCCTCTTCTCTTCCTCTCTGATCTCCTCTCCTCCTTCATTCTCTTTCTCTCTCCTGTCATATTCTCTTCTATAACAACAACAACAATCAACGGCCGCACGTCATCGTCAACAACAACAAGCAACATCAACCGCAACAACCACCGTCGCCAGCCACGTATTTCAAGGTTTTTGTTTTTGTAGATCTTTTAATTTAGGTTTGAGTGTAGATGTAGTTAATTTTGAATGTAATTGTAATTGTGTAATTATATAATTTTTTTGATTTTCGTTGTTAAATTTTTGGTTTTTTGAATTTTCGGTATTTTTTAATTAAATTGTGTTAATATAATTTTGTTTATTTGGTTTTTTTTCGGTTGTTTAATTTTTAATTTTCGTTGTTTAATTTTCGGATAAATTCGCTTGTTTTTTTTGCGTTTATTTGGGTGAATTTTTTTTTTTTGGATTTTTTTGGGTTAATTCGGTTTTATTTGCGTTTTTTGTGGGTGGTGGTGTGGTGTGGTGGTGTCGGTGGTGGTGGGGTGGGGGTTACGGTGTGGCGGTGGGGTTATGGGTAGGTGGGTGTGGGTTGTGGGCAGTGGATAGGGGTAGGTGGGGCTGTTTTGTAGGGTGTGGGTGGTGTGGGGTGGGTTAGTGTGTGGGGTGGGTGGGTGGTGGTTTGGGTGTATGGGGGGGGGGTGGGTGATGGTCCGGGTCTGTGGGGTGGGTGGAGTGGGTTGGGAAAATGGGTTGGACGTGGTGGTGGTGGGTGGTGGGTGGTGTGGGCTGGTGGCGGGGGTGGGTCTGGGTAGGGCTGTTTTTTTTTTTTTTTTTTTTTTTTTTTTTTTTTTTTTTTTTTTTATTGACTTTTCCGACGGAATATACCTCTTCCGACGGAAATTTCCGTCGGAAGCTTAGCACCTTCCTACGGAAATTTTCGTCGGAATATGATCCGTCGTAAGTTTGCGACAGACTTTCCATTTAAGTTAAATTTGACTCCGACAGGATAAAATTTGTCGGAAATGTTAGGTTTTACAGTAAATGCAATCAAGCAAAATACTTAAAGTGTGGGAACAAAACCTAAATTATATGATTACAAAACAATAACGTATTGCAATAGTTCAAACACAGCACAATGTGTTACAATCAAGTATTAATAAGTCTAAGAAATTACAGAAAATTTCTAGAGACAACACTAATGTGAAGTTTAATTATACTTGCCTTAACACCAAGCCGATCAAACACACATGAACATGAGAATAGCAATGCCCCTTGAGACTACGACCTTGATACACTGTCAAAGGCGTATGAATACTTTCCTAAAAGGATTAATTTCCCCCACACGGTGCTTGGGTTATTCCGGAAATTTCCTTTGAGATACAATTGACAGCCCTTTTCGTTCTTAGCACAAAGAATCGAAACAAAGATGAATAAATTCACAATATTTGGAATAATTGCAAGAGTTTTCTCACAAAAGTTTGCAAGGATTTTGAGAGAAAATTGTAGAGAATACTTCTGGAAAGAAGAAGAGAAAAAATTATGTGTGTCTTAGAATATGAAAACAAGCCTTTTATTAAAGACTTAACCGTCAGAATTTCGCGAAAACAGACTGGCGCGGGCGCTCCACCAGGAGGCGCGGGCGCGCCTCAAAGTGGAGCGGGTGCTCCTAACTAGGAGCGGGCGCTCCTTGTCTGATTCGTGAAATTTCCAAAGGAAGGCAGAGTGGTATGCGGTTCAAGCGCGACCACAGGCGCGGGCGCGCCATCTATGACGCACGGCCGCGCCAACTTCACCCTTCCAAATATCCAAATTTCAGTGAGGTCCGCGGTTTAGGTGCGACCTCAGCGCGGCCGCGCGTATTTAGCGCGGGCCCTACTCATGGTTCGCGAGCGCGCAACCATCAACACTCTAAATATTCCAACAGGAAATTCCGTCGGTCTGGACTTTTCCGGCGGAAAATCCCTCGGAAAACAGTGAAATTCCTACAAAATTTAATGCGACGGTGCGTTCCAACGGAATTCCGTCGGAAACAGGCTTTTCCGACGGAATTTCAGGGTTTTCCGAGGGATTTTTTCCGTTGTTGATAAGCTGTTTTCTAGTAGTGATTCAACAATCCTCCCCCATTTAGAGTGTTCCTTTAATACATTCTCGACTTCTAACAATTAAGCCACATCTCATGCATCAATGCCAATGTCCCTTCGGATTGAATTGACACCTAGTACAACACACTTAACGATGATCATATCCCGTGATTTCCATATGGATTGAATCACACGAATATATCCAACAGTTCGAAGGTGAAGTACACACAAGACAAATCGAATTTATCATCACTTGACACTTTTATACATCCATGTGTCCGTATCTTTCATCAGTTCATCAAAGTCTATATGTCCATCTAGACTTCTTGAAGCGGCTAAACTTTGAACTCATATAGGTAGGTTCTCATATACGTTATGCAGTAGTAGAAAATTTGAAATAGGCACCCCCCCTTTAGCACCGGTTCTTGAAAACCGGTGCCAAAATAAATGGGCGGGATTGGAAATTTCAGAGTTGGCACCGGTTCCAACCTAAACCGGTGCCAAATCCTTTAATTAGCACCGGTTCAAACCGGTGCCAACCATTTAAAAAAAAAAAAAAAAAAAAAAAACAAAAGAAGGGAATGGAGTTGGCACTGGTTTAGATCGAACCGGTGGCAATTATTGCAATTAGCTCCGGTTCGAACCGGTACCATTTAAAACAACAAAAAGCCGAGTTTTTTACATAACTCCTTCATTTCTTCTTCAATTCGTTTTTCATTCTCTCTTAGCTCTCTGAAAGAAAATGCATGCCTCTCTCCTTCATTTCCTTATCTCTCATCTCTCATCTCTGTTCTTCTCTCTCCAACTAAGCACCACAACCAACACAACAACCAAGCCGCCGCCGTCAACCACAACAAACATCGCCGCCGCCTAAAATCAAAAATTTGAGGTTAGGGTTTTGGGTTTTTCACGATTTTGGCTGGGTTTTTCACGATTCTAGGTTTCTGGGTTTTGTGGGTTGAATCTGTGTGGGTGTATTTGTGCAAAATCGTTTGTTTTAAGGGGTTTATTTGATCGATTTTTGTTCAATTTTTTGGGTTTATTTGTTCGATTTTTTTTCGATTTTTTCGAGGTTTATTTGTTCTATTTATTTTTTGTTTTTTTGGTTGAATTTATCTGGGTTAATCGTTCGTTTTTAAGGGGTTTATTTGATCAATTTTTGTTTGATTTTTTGGGTTTATTTGTTCGATTTATTTTCGATTTTTTTGGGGTTTATTTGTTCTATTTATTTTTTATTTTTTTGGTTGAATTTATCTGGGTTAATCGTTCGTTTTTAAGGGGTTTATTTGATCGATTTTTGTTCGATTTTTTGGTGTTCGATTTATTTTTGATTTTTTGGGGGTTTATTTGTTCTATTTATTTATTTTTGGTTGAATTTATCTGGGTTAATCGTTCGTTTTTTAGGGGTTTATTTGATCGATTTTTTAGGTTTATTTGTCCGATTGATTTTCGATTTTTTAGGGGTTTATTTGTTCTATTTATTTTTTGTTTTTTTGGTTGAATTTATCTGGGTTAATCGTTCGTTTTTAAGGGGTTTATTTGATCGATTTTTGTTTGATTTTTTGGGTTTATTTGTTCGATTTATTTTCGATTTTTTTGGGGTTTCTTTGTTCTATTTATTTTTTGTTTTTTTGGTTGAATTTATCTGGGTTAATCGTTCGTTTTTAAGGGGTTTATTTGATCGATTTTTGTTCGATTTTTTGGTGTTCGATTTATTTTTGATTTTTTGGGGGTTTATTTGTTCTATTTATTTATTTTTGGTTGAATTTATCTGGGTTAATCGTTCGTTTTTTAGGGGTTTATTTGATCGATTTTTTAGGTTTTTTGTCCGATTGATTTTCGATTTTTTAGGGGTTTATTTGTTCTATTTATTTTTTGTTTTTTTGGTTGTTTATCTGGGTTGAATTTTAGTGCCTTGTTCGATTTTGTGGTGGTTTTTTTGGGGTTGAGTTTGAGTGATTTATCTTCTTTTGGGTTGATATTTTATGTTGTTAGTAGCATTGTTATCTGATTTTATTGTTTTAATTGATGCAGGTTTGAAGTTTCTGATTTTTTAATTTTCGGTTTGAAGGTCGTGAATTTGCTGAGTTTGAAGTTCGAAGTTCGAAGTTTCTGGGTTGTAAATTGTAAAATTACAAATTCAGCAATTTTTCTTTTTTTTTTAATAAGTTGTAAAATAACAATTTATTTGATGAATATAGCCTTGTTCGATTTCTTGTTTTGGATTGTATGCTGAAATTTTCATTGAAGGCTTAATTGCGATGAAATTGCAATTTTTTTTTTTATTGTTTGAAGGCATAATTGGTAACCAGTTCCAATTGTAGTTAAAATTAAAAAAAAAAAAAAAAAAAAACAGCGCGGCATTTACATTTGGCACCGGTTAACCGGTGCCAAATGCTTAAGTTGGCACCGGTTTTGAACCGGTGCCAAGTTTTCATGGATTTGGCATCCCTCAAATCCCCAACGGTTCAAAATCGGTGCCTTAGTGGGGGTTTGAACCGGTGGCCATTTATCTTTTTTGCCTAGTGATGGTGCCCTTGTGATAAGACACTTTCATTTAGAGCTTCTCAACTCTAAGTCTTTGAAAACTTTAAATAGACGCTAGCTTACACATCACAAGTAACATAGCAATATGGGTCATCATACATTGCTATCAAACAACAAAGATGCAATTCAACCACATTGAATCTAAGACTTGATGTTTCTTCAAGCGTTAGATTGGGTTTCACAAATTCGTGTTTTGGACATAAACCCATTCCATTCATAGCAAATATGATGGAATGCCTTGGCATTGCTTTAGTAAAACAATCCGCCAAATTTAATTTTGTTGGAACATAGTCAAGACTTATGACCCCATCATTGATAAGCTCTTTCACTAGGTTATGCCTAAGTGAAATATGCCGAGACTTACCATTGTACACTTGACTATAAGCCTTTATCAACGCCGAATTGGAATCACAATGGATTGCCACCGGTGACATTGGCTTTGACAATAAAGGCAACTCTATCATGAGATTCCTCAACCACTCAGCCTCTTTACTAGCTGAAGCAAGAGCAATAAACTCCGCTGCCATAGTGGAATCCGCAATGCAAGTTTGTTTCTTGGAAGACCATGAAATGGCACCTCCCCCAAACATGAATACCCAACCACTTACAGAAGAATCATCCTCTTTGTAAGTGATCCAACTAGCATTCGAAAATCCTTCTAAAACCGAAGGAAATCCACTATAAGTTAGACCATAGTCTAACGTACCCTTAAGGTACCTCAAGACCCTCCGAACTGCAAACCAATGATGTGCACCCGGGTTACTAGTAAATCTACTTAGTTTCCCCACAGCCAATGCAATGTCTGGTCTTGTACTAGTCATGGCATACATCAAGGATCCAATTATCCTTGAATATTCCAATTGGGAAACCGTTTTCCCTGAATTCTTAACCAATTTAACATTAGGTTCTATGGGGGTGTTCACGGGACACTTATCAAACATATTAAACCGTTTGATCATTTTATCAATATAATGAGATTGACTTAGGATAAGTCTTCCATTGTCCCTAATAATCTTGATGCCCAAAATGACATCCGCCTCCCCCAAATCCTTCATCTGAAAAGATGAGGATAAGAATTCCTTGGTCAATTCTACTTGTTGTAGACTTGTACCAAAGATAAGCATATCATCAACATATAGACAAATGATGACACCATGACCTTTGTCATCAAATTTGCTATAAATACACTTTTCAGCTTGATTCACTTTGAATCCAAAGGACAAAATCGTGTCATCAAATTTTTGATGCCACTGTTTTGGTGCTTGTTTAAGTCCATACAATGACTTAACCAATTTGCACACCTTATCTTCTTGTCCTTCCAAAACAAACCCTTCGGGTTGTTTCATATACACTTCTTCCTCTAGATCTCCATAAACGAATGCCGTTTTGACATCCATTTGATGAATCACTAGATTATATACCGAAACCATTGCAATCAATAACCTTATCGAGGTAATTCTTGCAACCGGTGCATAGGTATCAAAATAATCAACACCATGCTTTTGCCTAAAGCCTTGGATAACCAATCTGGCTTTAAATTTCACTATGGAGCCATCCGGTCTCCTTTTCCTAGTGAAAATCCACTTGCAACCAAGATAAATCCTCTATGACCCAAGTATTATTTCCCATGATGGAATCCATCTCATCATTTATAGCTTCCTTCCAAAATGCACTATCTTGGGAAGATATGGCCTTGCTATAACTCTTTGGGTCACTATCCACATTGAAACAATATGGAGTAGTGAAACTAAGGACATCCCTAGACCCTTCAACTAAGTATATGATGAAGTCCTCTAGAGGATTCCTAATTTTCCTTTCCCTAGTACTTCTCCTCACTTGAGGAGTTTCAACATTCTCATTATCGAATGTACTTTCATGAGTTTCAAGTTGATCATTCAACTCTATTATCTCCCTATCATTGGCACTGATTTGTAGATCTTTCGGTCTACTCATTGATGAAAATCGATTTTCATCAAAAATTGCATCTCTTGACTCAATAAACGAATGAATCGATATATAGTCATTTTGTTCTATTACATAGAACCTATAGGTTTTGCTATGCTCAGCATAACCTATAAATATGCAATCCAAGCCCCTTTCACCAAGCTTTCTTTTCTTGTTGCCGGGCACTCTTACGATTGCCCTACAACCCCAAAGCTTGAGATACTTCAAGTTTGGCTTTCTTTTGTACCAAAGTTCATAAGGAGTAGATTATTTTCCCTTAGTGGGAGCCTGGTTAAGAATGTGACAAGCTGTCAACATTGCTTCACCCCAGAACCCTTCACTCAATAATTTCGATCGATAATTAATCGCCCTACCAGCATTAAGGCAATTCGTTCCTCAGAAACATTGTCTTCCACTTCACCAACATCAACAAATTCGTTTTCTTGATCGTGCAATCGTAATTTTGAACATTGATTTGCTAGTTCTTCTGCCATAATCGACCAATGAACATCCTTTCTTTCAAGGCAGGTCAACCTTTCCCACGAGGTAGTGTCGCCCCTCTCTTTCAAGGGAGTTCGCTTGATTATCTTTGGTAATCTTAAACAATTTATACTTATTATTTATGACATTAATAATTAATTTTTATTAAATTTTAACTATAGTTAAGTTTAACAATTAAATTAATTAAAAAGCTACTTAAAAAAAAAAAAAACAAACCCCACTCCCCTAAAATCGATCAACCCCATCCCCTTGCCATCAGCCCCCTCCCCTCTGCCCCGCCGGCAGCTCCGACACCCCAACAGTCCCCCCTTTCTTGTGTCGATTCCATTGTTGCGAATAAGAATGTGTGTCGAACCCTCCCCTGCGCAGCAATACAAGCAGTTCAAACCCGAAAAATCCATGATTTCACAAAGTGCTCATACAATGTAATATTGTAATCTATTAACTATTAATAAAACAAAACATTGTTGATGTCATCAACCCTTAAATTATCCTACGTGTCAATTTAACATTAAAATTTTTTCCTCCATTTTCTATGTGTGATGTCGTCATCATTTGTTTTTTTTTTAACCTACACTATACATTTTTCTAACAAACAAAATTACCACTCTTTTTTACACAAATGACAAAACTTTATCTTATGCATAATAATAAAAATTAATTAAATCGTGCAACGCACGAGTCTAATCTAGTTAATCCAACATTTGAATTGAAAATGACAAGATAATGAGAATAATGAGGCTACTGGTATTGCAAGCCACAACCATTGGAATAACCAATGTCTGATTAAAATACCATCTATCAACTCCATATTAGAGATCAACAATTCTAAAATCCTGTATTACGAAGAACATCAAAAGTACCTGCAAAACTACCACTTTGGAGAGAGAATTGGCGAAATTTGTTGGAACAAAAAGGCAGGTAACCCAGATTTGTTGAATATGAAGGTTTCTTTGAATTTATTGAGTTAGGGTGAGGGGGGCATTTAGGAAATCGGGGAAGGGGTCAGCCGACGGATTAGGCGCCGGCAGGGAACGGTGGCCGGGCGCCGGCAATGGAGGGGAATGCGTGATTTTTTTGTTTAAGTTATTATAAAACTTAACCATGGTTAAGCCTATAATTGTAAATGAAAATCATTAAGGTCCCCATTTAATTATTATAGCAAATTAGAGTTTACCAAATCATTCAATTATGATTTACAATTATTGTACATCCGTTATAAAGTTACCCTAAAATGAGCAAAAGTTACCCTAATATGAATAAAAGTTATTCTGACATAAATAAAGGTAACGAAGTATTTATGGTTTATTAATAAAAGTTACCCAAAAATTGTAAAATTGACTAAATTTGATAAAAGTGACCACCGATGTACAGTAATTACCGTACATCGGATGTATACAAAAGTTACTCATTCAAATAAAGTTTATTATGTTAAAACAAAAGTTACTATGTTATTATAAAGGTCATAACAGATTAGGTATCTTTTTTTTTTTTTTTTTTTTTTTTTTTTTTTTTTTGAATGTACAGATTAATGTGAAAAAAAAGTCATCGTATTAAAATTAGGGTCACTATATTCAACATAACACCACACTTTAAATTCATAATAATATTAAAGGTCACACAAGTTTAAATAAAGGTTACTATTGTAAAATTAAGGCTACTATGTTAAAATTAGGGTCACTACGTTTAATATTCAGTCAATTACGCGTGTATGGATCCCAAGTCCACAATAATTTTATTGTCAATTAGGTCCACACAAGTTTTTTTCTCAGCCAAATTAAATATCCCTCTTTCCTAATCCAAGTATTACAAGAAGAATGTCCGGGGCTTGTACACAACATAGCCAATTTTTCTGCATCAAAGAAAAATCATCAAGAAATAAGTAGGACATATAATCAAATTAGTTTATATATTCAGCTTTAATATGAAATGAGCCAAATTCAATAATTTCTTGTCAATTAATTGTTGTTAAACAGTTGACATAATTCTTAACAAATATTCATATAGTCATAGAAAAGAAAGATACCAATGTCTTCTACAAGTGTCAAAGTGAAGTGTCCAGCATAGCATTTCAAGCTTTTATGAGGTTTAGGAAAAAAAAATAACTGTCAAAAAAAAAAAAACACATAAAAGCTTGAAATGCTATGAGTTTTTTTTTTTTTTTTCCTCTTTTACGAGTTATTTTACATAGCTAATTTATAACTCAACGATATCTCAAAGCTAAGTAAAAACTCCGTGTTTGCATATATTATAATCTACCATAC